GGGTTAGGTATCTTGAACCATCCATTGGCCAGTCCGAGATGTACACTTCAGTGTACACGCTGATGGCTGCAAGCAGGAAAGGTAAAATCCTTTTATTGCAGAAGCGACAAAGTATGTAATCATAAAAAAAAGGGGGGTTCTTATACTTCCTGTTCTGGAAATTCAAAAGGTAAATGAGGAAATCTCTCCAAACTGAATAAAATTCCCAGGTTAGAGAGGAGTCAAAAATAGGTGTCCCATTGGAGGATTTTCCCTCCCCTCTTGCTCTATTGACAACTCTAAAATTTGGGTTTCTTTCTCACTTTCTATCTCGGGTACAATGGTCGGCAGGATAAATATATATGTGGATCTCCCCAATGGTGACACAGTCCGCAATGAAAAACTTGACAAAGGGTCTTATTCTCCCCTACTCCTATCTAAAGTTGAAAAGGAGATTGCCTTTCCATGCATTTTAAAGGAGAACTATGGGGTTAAAGGTGAACTATGAGATGAGTGATTTCCACTCACCTCATAGTTCTAGCCGACCTGTGACAATGAGACTGTCACAGGTCGGCTCAGTAGATCGGGAGGTGAGCGAACACATACCGGCTGGATTCCCCTCTTCCCGCTCCGATCTGCCAGCGCTGACTGGCGGAACGGACGGGGGCGGGTACAGCTGGCTCTCCTTCTAGATAGGCAGAGCCAGCTATCACTCACACAGCTGGGCGGATCTCGACGATGTAGGGATCCGCTGCGGCGTCTCAGTATACTGCGAGCTGTAGCTCGCGGTATACTGAGCTTAGGGTAACGGGAGGACGCTAGTTTGTGTCCTCCCGTTACCCTAAGGAGAACTATGGGGAAAAACACTGACCCCATAGTTCTCCTTTTAAGGCTTTTCCCCATAGTTCTCCTTAGGGTAACGGGAGGACACAAACTAGCGTCCTCCCGTCACCCTAGGCTCAGTATACCACGAGCTGTAGCCCGCAGTATACTGAGACGCTGCAGCGGATCCCGACAATTATGACTGACAGCTGGCTCTGCCTATCTAGAGGCAGATCCAGCTGTACCCGCCCCCTCCCCCCGCAGAGAGCCGTGACAGGCTCGAGAGGTGAGTGAACACCGGTATGTGTTCGCTCACCTCCCGATCTACTGAGCCGACCTGTGACAGTCTCATTGTCACAGGTCGGCTAGAACTATGAGGTGAGTGAAAAGCACTCGCCTCATAGTTCTCCTTTTTAGGTTAACATTTTACCCCTTGATTTCAAGCTGTCAGACACAGGAAAAGAAAGTAAAGCTAAATAAGGGGGCAAATATAAAAACTTTCATACACATACCTGCAGTCCTGCACAATTATAATTGTACTGAATATTTAGTTCTACTCTTTAAACAACATAATGGCTGGCGTAGCAGGTACAAGTATGTTTCATCAGGGCAGTGATGAGTCTTTTTAGATACTCTGCATACACAGCGGAGTGGGGTTGCAATTATGGATTTACAAATGGTTAATTTATAGCTCCAGGGTCTCCATAAACATTATATAAAGATAAGTTCCCTTCAGCACAGGGAGATCCATCTTTATATAAACTTTTTAGATACTCCTTGTGTTCCATGGGCAGTAATATATTCCAATTCTGGAGGTTTGACACTTAAACAACCTTACTGTATATAGGATATTTGGAACTCTTAGTTACTCATTGTGATTCCGATAACTCATCAATGCTAACACAATTTGGTTACCGCTTCTAAAAAGCGCTGTGGACTGTAGACCTGTAACACTTTCAGAGAGACCTTTTGCCTGCTTTCCACTTATGCATTCCCAGGAGAAAACATTGGCTCTTTAATTTGCTGGTGAAAGCTACACACATCTGTCGACTGAGGCTTTTGTGCTGGAACAGGTTGAATTAAATGAATGCATTATATTATAATGTTTAATACATTTCTAAATGCAGTGTGGTAAGGACAATGTGTGTTGGTCGGCTAAAGCTGAACTTCAAGCAAACATTTAAAAAAAACACATTTGAGAACTGAATTTCCATCCAGTCTTGAGAGCCTGATCCACAGCCAACCTGGAGACCTGATCTTTCTCTGCATTTTTTTAAACCCCTCTCTCTCCTCAAAACCCCCCCCCCAACTGGAAAATGAAGGAGCAGCAATAGACTAAAGGCCTGTGTCAGTGGGCTTGTGTGCATGGATTCTAAGATCCTTCAGATAATCAATGACAGGTTCTTTTGACCTTCATTCAACCTGTTTTAAGCAGGTTTTGCATGCCTATAGACTTCTATGGGGATACAGATCCCATCTAAAGCAAACAAGTCTGTCGTCACGGGCCCGAAGGTCATCAGTTTGCGCTCTCCTCTTGTCGTCATGTTCCTTGATATATGTTTCAGGTAGATGGTAGATCTTTAAATCTAATAGCTTCCTTTTTATTTTTCTTTCTCTCGTTGAGACATATTGTATGTGCTACTGTGCATCACACTGTGACCATTATGGGGGGGTCCTAAGTTTGAAATCAAAGACATCCAAGCCGCTAACATTTCCAGAAGGGCAATAACACAGGCAGCTTCCATATTTTTCTCTGTATAGGTTTCCGTTCCACAGTGGCTATAATGGTCTTTATCTGATAGAGGATTCTGTATAAAGAATATGCTATCTAGTAGGCATCTTCTAAGAAAACATACAGTGACAACAATTTTAAAATGCATACTACACTTGGTTTCCCTTTTGCATAAAACAAAAGTACCTCAAAATGGTTCTGTGCTAGCTCCAGGGTGATGGCAAACATGCATCTAGATAGCATAAATGGGAGCATCGCGCGCTAACGCTGTTAAAGCTGAACTCCACTTCCGATCCTGTTTGGTTGTCCCTTACATATTGTAAGGGTCTAATGCTCATTTAGTCTGGAAAGTGGGGATGTATCGTAGAGGAACACTTGCCTTATTACTTGCTCTTGTAGACTTCTCTGCCAATTCAGGATGGACAACTCGTCCAATGAAGCTGCTCCTCTTCTCCTGTCATGCGGCCGACATCCTTGCGTACAATGCAGGACTGGCGGCCCTGCATTATATGTGAAGATTTTGATGGCCATGCAGGGATTGTTCATGCCTGAAGCAGGATTGAAGAAGACTGGCAGTTCGCCTACATATTATTCTCAGTATGGGTGAGGCAACTATGAGGCATTTGGGTTCCGCTGTGCGGGCAGCAGAGTTTGGCCCAGGCCACAGTAAGGGTCTTGGGTAGATCCCACTATTTTGGTATTCTGAGGGGCTTCGCTATTTGAGTGGCCACCCTCTATGGCTCTAAGTTAAGCACCCAGTCACACCCTTTACTGTAACAAGCAGACGTGTCCTCTCTATCCTAGTTTGTATCTGTAAAAGTAATTATATTGGTCCACTATTCCCGAATCACTGGCTGGCTTGGAGCCCTTTCTGTATGTTGTAAAGTGAAAATTGTATCGTGCCTTGTGAGTGGTGACATACTGACCCTTGAGAATTTTTTTTCTTTCTTTGTGCATGGTTGCCTGGCCTCCGCTTTCCACCAAAACAGAATTCCACACCTTTTAACTACACCATTCACTTGAACTGCTATAATGAGCTGTCTGCTAAACTTGCAAATGCATGATCTTGTAATTTATACTTTTAGGTATTAAGAGCCTATTTTTGTCTAACTTTGTTCTAGTGCGTAATGGTAGGTGGAGTAGGGTGTCTGAAGCAAGAGGAAATTGGAAACTTTCAGGAGGAAAAAGGAAAACCATTGGCCTTTATGCACAGTAGAGATATACCTATTATATGTGATAGGCCAATAATGTGTTGCATGTGTTTTACCTATCAAAATCATTAGAAGCAAAAGACTAAGCAGTTCTTAAGCTGGGTTCACACCTGGGTGTACGGAATATGCGCGTTTGCACCGCGACTTGCGGTAAAAGAAACACACGTTTCCGAGGGCTATCCAGCTGTATCCTAATGGATACGCGCGGCAAATACGCCCCAAAAAAGCTCCTGTACTTCTTTGGGCGTAGGGCATTTTACAGCGCATTGCTACGCGCTGTAAAACGCCCAGCTGTGAACCAGGCCTAAAAGCCACCTATAGTCATGACATTGAACCACATGGTCCAACTAGAGATCCTACACTAAAGCTAAACACAATCCTTTATACAACACGCTAAAGGCAGTCTCTTGTCACATGCAAGCAGTCATTGATGGTATTTTGTCAGCAGTCTTATGAAACAAGGGACTTTTTTCCAGCAGTTTATTTTCTAGCAGGACATGGCAATAGTATTTTGTGTTTTGCGGGTAGGGTCAGCTGTGCAGAAGCTGATAAACTTTTTTGATCAAACTGATCTTTCCAATTGCCCCGATTTTAATTATGGTCAGTAAGAATAAGCTGCAAGTTAAAAGTTGGCAATTAAATCACTCCCACTTATAGTAAGCCACACCCACCTGCGCAGCAGGACACCTTGCACTCCGCATTAGGGCGGGGCCTTCACTCAATCTATTTTGGTGAGCATCAGGTAACACCAGTGAAACACTGGTGGCCTGGGAGATTTAGTTGACACAATAAGTTAAATATCTGCATGTTGTTGCATAGCCCTTGCAACAAGAAAAAAAATCGGGCAACTAATCAATTATGAAAATAATTGTTAGCTGCAGCCCTAAATACAACTATAGTAGGCACCTGAAATCCCACATAATTTGTTAACCAATTCTTTTGTTTCATTCCTGAGCTTGTGTGTGGCCTTTTCTTCTTTCCCTATTATTTAGTTACTTTGCATCATTGCTGTTACCAGTGGAGTATTAGAATACGAATCCAACGACAGATGTTGACATTCTATAAACAATAAAATAAAAATGGGCACTTAATGCAAAATTCTTCTCTTTCCTTCAAGCAATCTTCTCAAAGTTTCTATATTTTACCTACACAACCTCTTGTGGATTTTATAGGTTTCAGAATGTGTTGACAGGGTGCCTCTGAAATCTAGGGTACTTGGTGCATTGCAATGACTCATCTTCTGTTACTTTCCACAGGATCGTAAATTAACAAAAGTTGAGAGGCAGCGATTTAAAGAGGAGGCGGAAATGCTGAAAGGTTTGCAACATCCAAACATTGTGAGGTTTTACGACTTCTGGGAATCCTGCCTGAAGGGGAAGAAATGCATTGTCTTGGTGACTGAGCTCATGACATCGGGGACACTGAAAACGTGAGTTCAGATAATACAGACGGACTTGTCTGTAGGCCGGTAATTGTAAAATACCGCTCATGTTAACATCAAATAGCTGCTAGAAACATTCATAACTACATATGGAACTATTCCCTGATGTGATATTTTTCATTGCATTTATACTCCCTGCGAAGCTAAATACTGTCTATTACAGTTGCATGCTAAAGTTTGGACACCCCTAGCCAAATAACGGTGTTAAAGAAACATATTTGCATATTTTACACGGTTATATATTTTTTTAAACATTTAAAACAGATGAACAAAGACTGTAGTAATTGTGACGTGTAAAAGTTTGACCCCCTAGTATGTCATTATTTACCAACATCCTCCTATGGTACAGGTAATGGCTTCTAAGTGCCTTTTGTATTAAATTATTATTAAAGGCAGTGCGTTTTTTACCTTAAAGGAGAATGATAGGGTGAGTAAAAAAACACTCATCCCCATAATTCAAGCCGAGCTCTGATACTGAAGTTGTCACAGGTCAGCTCTATTGATCGGGAAGTCAGCGATCACATGGTGCCGATTGTGGACTTCTCAATCCTCTCCTCGCCTCTCCCTGCAGAGAGCAGTGTTTCCCACCTCCATTTCTCTAGCGCTGACTGGAGTAATGGATGGGAGAGGGGGCAGGCACAGCTTGCTCTGCCTCTAGAGCGGCAGAGCAAGCTGTCAATCAGCCAGTGGGGTGGATCTTGACAGTATTATCGGGATCTGTCCCAGCTGTGGCGCGGCTGTGTGCACTCAGTATAATGCGTACAATAGCCCGCTATATACTGAGTTTTGGGTCACCGGAGGACATTGGTATATGTCCACCTGTGATCCTTAAGAGAACTGTGGCCAAAAAGGGTTAGGCCAAAGTTATCCTTATTTAATGCATTCTCTACATTAATGTAAAAACCCCCCCAACCTGTCAGCACCACTTGTCCCCGCTGGCATTCTCTAAAGTGATCCTCTGTCCCGAGCTTCCTGGTTGCAGGGGAGGAGATTGAGTGCAGAGGAGCCATAGGTTCCTGTTGCTGTCAATCAACCTATTGGGCAGAGAGGAACCCGATAGAGAACCAGGAACTGCACATCTTTCATTAAAACAAAGATTTTTACAAGTACGGTCCTATTTAAACAACATTTTTTTTTTTTTTTTTTTTTTTTTTATTAAACTTTTAATATCTCTTTTAAGCTAATAAAGAGTCTTTCAGTTCTTGTAAGGATGTTTGCCCACTCTACTTGCACATCACTTCTAATTCCAAGATATTCTTGTATGCACATTTTGAGGTATGTTAAAGGAGAACTATGAGGTGAGTGATTTTCACTCAACCTCATAGTTCGAGCCCACATGTGACAAACTGTCACACGTCGGCCCAATAGATTGGGAAGTGAGTGAACACATACCGTCGCTCGCTCACTTCTCGATCTTGTCCCTGCAGAGAGCTGTGACTATCACTAATCACGCAACTGGGTGGATCTCAACAGTAATGTCTGGATCCGTTTCACAGCTCTTGTTTCCAAAAGGACTCTAGCTTATCTAGTTTATCCTGTCTTCAAATATTGTTATTTTTAATGGGTCGCAGATGAGGCTTCCAACTGATGGACTATTCTATGTTGATAATGCTTGTGCAGACAATGCTGCAGTATGGAACAGTGCAACACCACGACTGTGTGGGCCAAACTTTCCTGCCTGTCCTTTGCAGTCATGTGAGGGTTTGCTTTCTGGCCAGCATATCAGCAGTCCTCCTAAGAGTGAAAGCCAAAGATCTGGTAGACCAAAGAAAACTTAATCGGTCAACAAGAAATGACAGACAAATGTCCTTGTTGACAATATGGACAGTGGAAATTGCAAGCTGGAAGCATTTTGTTTTGTGTTTTTAGTGTGTGGTTTTTGTTTTTTTAACAACCCTCTGCAATGCTTTGTTGGCATCAATTATCTTTTCAGGGCTTCACGCATTTGCTTAAAAGAGCCCATGGTTGTTGAGTAAGAGCAAAAAGTTTGGACACTCAGAGATTTTCTTAAGCTCTACAATTGTCATCTTGAAGGCTGCTAATTTCTGTTAAGGCCTAATGAGGTAATTGGGTTTAGAAACCTTGAAAAAAACAGTGTTTATGACTGAACAAGTGGAAGGGCGTTCTAACTTTTCTGTATGTCCCAATTACTTTTTTTTTTCCTAAGTTTTTTTTTAAATGCAACTGCAAATATGTGGTTTCTCCCAGTTAATTTTGTAATTGGAAAGTAGGAAACTTCTAACTAAAAAATTTAATTTGGCCAGGGATGCCCAAACTTTAACATGCAACGGTTTTGTCTTTAATTTAAGGCTAAAGTAGGAGTGGTAGGAAGTAGGCTGTGCAAGGCAAATAATTCCCCCACACAAACAAACTCAATCTTTTCCCCTCTGATCTAAAATGTTCTTGATATATGTTAATGTGGTATAAATGTTATTTTTTGTTTGGAAACATTCAGTTCATTGGTTTGTCCATAGGTCTCAGCGTTTCTCTTTCCAATATGTTTTTTTTTTCTTGGGAAAAAAGATAACGGTTTAAAAATGAAATCCCGTAAGCAGCATTATATCTGCCTTAACTCCGAATCATTCTGTATTAGGTTTTTATAGTCTGTCTTGTACTTGTTCCCATTTTGATTTCTCTGTCCATGCTATTTTCTTTTCAGATACTTGAAAAGATTTAAGGTCATGAAGCCAAAGGTTCTGCGCAGCTGGTGTCGGCAAATTCTTAAAGGCTTGCACTTTCTTCATACGCGAACTCCTCCAATAATCCATCGGGATTTAAAATGTGATAACATTTTTATAACTGGGCCAACTGGCTCTGTGAAGATCGGAGATCTGGGCCTGGCTACCTTGAAACGAGCCTCTTTTGCTAAAAGTGTTATAGGTAACAAATGTTTTTGGGTTTGAGGTGCATGTCTGAGATAGATGGGAGGCAAGGCAAGAGCCTTTTTAAAGAGGACCTAACTCTAGGAGCTTTGCCCACAAGACAGGCAGAGGGGAAATTACTTGTGAATGATATTGGCTGTTGACTCCATGTAGCTGTTCCTTTTCCACATTACTGACTTACCATGCCTTGTTCTGCACTGTGTGTAAAGGCAGCAGCCATCTTAGGTAGTAGAGGAATAGGGATTGCTTCCTCGGATCAAATCTGTCCTTGATGACTGGTGGTCTGAAAACTAATTAAATAATATTCAAGAAGCAGCAGAAGAGGGTCACAAAGAACAGCTCCAGAGAATGAATGATACAGAAGCAGGGAAATAGTGCAGATTCCTCTCCATTAAGCAGCACAGCAGGACTGTCACCAAATCTCACTTCAAATCTGGTAAGATTAGCAGTCAGAGGCAACAATGGCTTATACATCACATTGCACCTATGAGACAGTATGCAAAATAGTGCCTGGGAACCCTCACATACCAGGAAGTACATCCTGGGCACAGATAACATGTTCTCTATAACATAGCAAAGCTTTACTTGTTTGAGTCTTGAAAGAAGAGGGATTAAAATAAAAAGTTATACTCTCTAAACCTCGAAGCAGGCTGACTTAGATCAGTCTTTCCAGCTTCTCTTCCACTCTGCTCCAGTGGGCTAAGGATCTTTGGGTCATCATGTCGAATGCAATGTGTATTGGACATGAGGATGTCGAGGGATATATCACTGCAGCGGAAGAGGCGACAGGATGGAGGGAGCACTTTAACAGCCAGTTGGCTATGAGGTTCATGTGAGTATAACTTTAATTTACACGCTGGGCGAAAATGATCGCTTAACCCTTGCAGTTCGGGGGTAGCCACACTGCAAGGGTTAAGAATAATCTTTCCTGGAGTTCTTCTTTAAGGCTCTGTTCACCTCTGTGCATTAAGGTAACACACTAAACAAGTGTGATTGACGTTGTTTTCTATGAATTTGCCATTCATTTTGGATGGTACTAAAAAGCACCTCACCAGAACACCTGACTTGTGCATTTTAGTGCACCACAATTTTGGTCCACTGTGTTGGCAGCCCATTCAACATTTTTAACTTTTCAGACTAAAATCTATGTTGTGTTCCACTGGCGGCCCATGCAAAATCAATTGGCTGTATTAGCCTAACGCACATTAATGCAGCCCAGTGGACCAGCGCTATTGGGCCTTAAAATAGACCTCCAGCCAAAACCAAGAGTTCTTTAGTGCAATATAGGAAGCAGTTCAACATATTCTCTGTCAATATTTTACATTTATTTTGCTACTTTTATGGGGACTGTTGTCTTTTGTAAACTATGCAATTGTTGCTCAAATAGAAATGATTATGGGTTTATAAAATGTATTAGGACAATGATAAGTCGTTTGTAATGAAGAAACCTCTTGTATAAAAGATAACTGTGATCTTTGTTTATGGGCAGGAACCCCCGAGTTTATGGCACCTGAAATGTATGAAGAACATTATGATGAATCTGTGGATGTGTATGCTTTTGGAATGTGCATGTTGGAAATGGCTACCTCAGAATACCCGTACTCTGAATGCCAGAATGCTGCTCAAATATACCGCAAAGTCACCAGTGTAAGTACCATGTAAATCCATCTTTTAAGGTTGGTGAGTTACCGGCGATTTTCAGTGTCCATCACTCTCCCTCGGTTTGTTCCATCCTCTCTCTCTTATGCTCTTTCCCTCTGTCTCTTTCTGTCCATAATGAAGTCACAAACAGCAGTGCAAACGTTTCTGGAGTTCTCACCTTTTTCACCCTGTTTAAGTTAAACCTGCACTGAGTGAATATTGGGGATGCCATTGCTGACCTCTGCAAATGCTTTGACTGTTTTGCTGATTCACTGGTTTCATTACGTTCTAAAGCACTGACCTCTGAACAAATATTCAATTTAGGAGTTCTGACTGTCTAATCTACATGCATGAAGTCAGAGATATCAAGGTAATCAGCATTTTCAGAAGGATGTCAAATGATGGGCCCCATATATTTTAGAATCTGTTGGCCTCATGCACATGGCCATACAACATACAGATCAGAGGTATTTCTCTGCTTGGGACAGTGGCGGAACTACCGCCGGTGCGAGGGCTCGGGGCCTGAGGCTGTTGGGGGGGCCCAGTGGGGTAAGGTCCAGGGCACCCCCACAGCCAGGCCGGTGATCGATCAAAAGTACCGGGCGCTACCGCAAGGCAAGCGGCCGCCCGAGGGCCCTGATGGGGTGAGGGAAGCGGTTGCGGTCCTTGCGGCGAGCTTAGAACGGTCAGGTGGTGGAAGAGGAGGGGCCGAGGCGCGACCGGAGGCGGGGCTATGTCGGGCCGAGTGAGACGCGACCCGTCCGCGGCCGCCCCAAGCAAGCTGACATGGCAGATCGATCATCATGGTAGATGCTGCATCATGGAGGCTCCAGGGCTGTCACTGTGGACAGCGAGCGGCACTTTCCTGCTCATCCAGTGTGGGCTCTGCAAGAGCAGGGCATCTGACCAGGCTGAGGCTGCACCAACTAGGGCAACAGCAACAAGCAGGTAGGTGGGCCTGGGGAGGGTTTATCATAAGGGCTTGTTCAAACCGAAAGCGGTGCGTTCCAGAGCGGTAGCTGCTAAGTACCAGGGCGGCATGGCAGAGGCAACATTAGAGACCGCTGGGGGGGGGTCTTGGGCCAGTGTGATCCGATCCCGCACCCCCCCCCCCTGTCTTGGGAGGGGGGCCCAAGATAAAATCTTGCACCAGGGCCCTTTGGTTATTAGGTCCGCCATTGGCTTGGGAGTTATGGCTATGCCAGGCAGCTGCTTACAGCCAGCTTACAAATCGGTGACAAGCTGGCTGATGCCACAGCTGTACAGGTATATACACAAATCCTGTTGTTTAAATGCATACCAGACTTGCGCACTGCCACAAACTCAGACCCTTCAGGGCAGTTTGTAAGCCTGGGGCATATGTAAGTTGCAGTATGCATGAAAACAATAGTATTTGCATATATAAATATTGTAATGTCTGCCTGGGTATAGTTTTACTTTAATATATGTTAATGCTCTCATCATCTAGAAGTAAGCAAATCTTACTAATTCACTAAATGCATGAATAGAAAACTTTCCAAATAAAGGAAACCTGCCATGAGACATACTGTACATACAGTAGGCGGCCATTGCTGACCACCATCTCAAGATTATTATTGTCGGTGGATGCATACTGGTTCTGGGTATATAACTCCGGTTTGTTTTAATTGAGGATCGTGCATGTCTTCCTCTTAATCAGCTAATAGGTTAAAAGGTGGCAGGTGCATTTTAATAAATCAGTGTGGCTCAGTTATAAATGCTAAAAGAAGGAAATCTCTAGAATGACCACATACCCAAGGGTCTTACTGCATTGGAACCATCCGATAAAAAGGACATTTGGGGAAGTTAATGCAGCATCAATTTGGATGTGCCATTGCAAAACAGATTATCTCATGCAGTTATGGTGTGGCACAGATGTTTCTGTAACCTTCCTCCCTGAGCTGTACTAAATTCTTTCATCCCTAGATACATCCGTCATCTTATGTTGGCCTGTAGGGTCATAGTTAATGGATCTGGCCATATGCTTCCAGCAAGTTTAGCTGTATTTCCCTGTATTTGAAAGCAAATGGATTCCCAATGGGCATCTAATGTAAAGAGCAACACAATCGAGTAACTATGAATTAGCAGATAGTCACTCTTCTATCATAGTAAATAAGCACACTGCACAAAGTCATTTTAAAATGACAAGATACCTTTTAAAAGAAACCTCTTGGCTACATCAATCTGTCCTGGCTAACAATAATGTTAAAATTAAGGAATCCTTCGGAGCCTGCAAATTCCTTTTATAGATCTCATCAACCTGTTTCTGTATACTGGAATCCTTGGATCCCAGGTATACAATACACACATGGCCTAGACTTTTGCTTGACCTGCCACTTGCAATGTCTGCCCATTAATATTGCAATGTGAGTGATTGCATGTAATCTAAAATGTAAGGCATTTATTTATCTTTATCGTGCAGCTTCCCTGATCAACCAATATGTTATGTTGCACTAAAGGAATCTTAATAGTGGTACTATGCAGTATTCTCCCTTAGTTGCTTTAAACTATGCCACTTTAAAAGGTAACTACTCGTACCGCCCAATGCTCAGATACTTACCCCGATACAGAACATCAGGTCAGAGGAAGATCTCACTCTGACCGGCAGTGCCGAGGGAGCATGGAGCCAGCTTCCTTTCCAATCAGGACCTCTCAGCTTCCTGATTGGTTAGGAAGCCAGGCTGCCTAGCAACAAGTGAAGCCGGATTGGTCAGGAAGTCAGGTAGCCTCGGTAAGTGGAGACCAAAAAAAAATATTGGTACTAGATACCAAAAAAACGGTATCGGTGCATGCCTAGTTCTAACCCTTCCCCACTCTATTCACAGCAAAAAAAATATTTTGCCTAAACCTTCAGAGTGAGTGTCCACTTACAGGAACACAATTCAAATCCTTCTGGGTCTTGCTGGCTTTTGGAGGCAAAGGGACAGCATAGATGGTAGATTTGTACACAAAGGAGTTCAGCTCTTCAACCTTAGATGCTGATTGAGCGGTTGTCCCTACCTTCCAATGAGAAAATCATCATGTGCCATTCTGATATTACTAAATTCTAGTCATTTTGAGATGGTATGATACATTAATCACTGCAAACATATGTTCTGTGCTGCTTTTGACTGCAGCTAATGATTGCATTTAACTGTTGGACAAATAGAGATCAATCTGCAAATGATCAGTGGCACTGGTGTCTGCGAGCTGCATGCTGATCAAGGTCAATTTGCAGGTTGTTGAAGCGTGAAGAGTTTCTCTTCTGTGAGGTGTGGGACTTTCCACTCGTTTGCTGACAACTGCCTTACAATGCAAAAGGAGAATACCCAATATTGCTGAAATAGGATTTATTTTATTCTTTGATTGGTCACAGATTTCAAATCCATTTCTTTTTTTCTCTTGCTTTTCCGTAAGAACACGGTGAAAGCTTGGGTGTGCTTACATTTTTTACACATTCCCCTTTTAGTAAATGTTGTATTAACCCCTTAGTGGCACGGCTTTAAAAAAAAGAAATCGCTTCTGGGGGCCTGAGCAATTTTGCTAGGTTTGTTTAACCATAATTTCCATCTTTCTCATACATTGCACCTACACATACACCGGTTTTTAAAGGACAAAATTGACTTTATTTGATGCATATATAAATTCTCACCTTTTTTTTTAAATTCTCCCCTCCCCCCAAAATGTGTACCTAAGTAGTGTAGCTAACAGAAAGTAATCCATAATTGTATTTGTTCTGATTTATAGGGTATATTATATGTCTGGGATTTCAGTTTATTTTGGGAGTTATAGGTCACAAATACAGTTTTAGTTTGGAACAATTTTAGAATCTAGTATGTTTTGTTTACTATCTTTAATAACCTCCTTGGCACTATAGTTTTTCTTTTTTTTTTTAATAGCATATATATTGTTTTTGTGTACTTTTTTTTTAAAAAGTTTAAAAAAAAAGCTTATTTACATTTTTTTTTTTTTTAAACTAAGGGTTTTTTGTTTTTCATTTACAAGGCTTTGATACTTAGTATCTCTGAGTAGAATACAGTATTCTCTTCAGAGATGCTTTGTGTCACTTTTGTAACACACAGCTGGCTTGCTGCTTACAAATTACAGTGAACATCTGCCGCCTCTGTGACTGTCACGGCTCTGCGATCACTGCGACCAGCTCTCGCTGTGATTACACACACTGACCACCTAATCTGCTGTTGAGGGTCTGCCTCAGACCCAGGGGGACCCACCAACAGCAGTAACATAATGAGCACTGGTCCATTGTACCGCATGACAGGATTGTTTCGTCACGGGTAGTTAACAAACTGAAAGATCATGACTGGATTATTCCTTCACCAGTCGGGAAGGAGTTAGTCTATGAAATTCATAACTTTTTTGTAGCTTGTGTCAGTGGTGGTTTGTACATCATCTGCATATGACTTTTTTGTGTTTTAAATAGATTATAGCTCCCAATTCCTCATTTGAGGTTATTGTCTCACTTTTGGAACCAAATCCCTCTCTTCCTCTTTCCTTTTTCAGTTTTCCCTCTTTTTGGTCTCATACAGTATGCATGCAATAAAAAATGTATGATTTAACTATTACTAAATGTTATTTTGCACTCTTTCACCCAACCGCTATATTTTACTTGTTGAGGTCACTGAAAACCATTCAATGGTAAGAAAAATCTTATTAAGAGTAGGCACATCAGCAAGACGCATGGGTTTTTTATTTATTCCTTAAGGTCTCTCACAGGCAGAAATTTAATGGAGAACAGATGTGCTCTTCTGTAGAAGCACCAAGAAATTGTCAAAGTTGAGGTCAGAAAACACAGTGGTCAGCCAGGGTAACTTAGTAGACCTAGCTAAAAGACACACTTGGCAGAAACCAATGGGACCCTAGTGCACCCATCTACAGTCTAGAGAAGTGGTCCTTATGGATGACGTGTGACTAAAATGCTATACCTCCAACATAGAAACAAGGTCAAGCATCTCAACTATGCATGGAAACACAAGAGCTAATATACAGAAAAATGGCAGTGGGTAATATGGACTGATGAGTCCAGATTTGAAATATTCGGCTGTAACAGAAGGTAGTTTTGTTTGCAGAAGGCCCAGAGAGGGGTACAAGGATTGAGTGTCTGCAGATGACAGAATGGTGAATGTTCCTAACCGGTTCAGGGATGCATTTCTGTACACAGAGTTGGGTATGTCAGAATTAATGGTCTTCTCAATGCTGATGCGTACGTAGATACTTCTCTATCACACAATACCATCAGGGAGGCAGCTGATCAGTCTTAAATTCGGCAGCAGGACAGTGACCCGAAACATACAGCCAAAGCCATCTTCAGCAAAAAGGACAAGGAGTCCTGGAAGAGAAGGTATGCCCTCTACAGTTCCCTAATCTTAACATCATTTAATGTCTGGGATTATGTTAAGAGACCAAAACAAAATGCTCAATTCACAGATAGAGAATACATTAAGGCAGAAGACACCAGGCCTTTAGTGCTACTTTAAGGCAATGGATGGATGCACCAAATTTGATTTTGTGTTTTTTTTTTTTTTCCAGTTTATGCACTTTATAGATCGGTAATTGATGAAAGAAAGATATCCATTGCATAGATTTTTAAAGCATCCTCACTTTAGGCAATTTTTATTAAATTCCTGAAATTTTTCCACGTGTGTGTGTGTGTGTGTAAATGTATGCTTGCGAATATAGGTAGATTTATAACTTTCCTCAGTGTGAGGTGATCTGAGGGCTTTTAAATGTCTGAAGAACATAATTTACCACAGATGTTTCAGTCTGTTGATTGATCCGAGTGTAGAATACTTCCTTTTCAATAACTGTGCAAAGCTGACCATACACAGCTCAGATTTCATCCAGCTCTATAAAGGTATCAATGGTGGCGATGAATCCTCAGCAAGACATTGACATGGATAATAGGCGCTGAACCATGATTACCTTCTATTAATTCAGTAAACAAAATAAGTAGAATGGACCTTCAGTAATGGATGCACCTATTTGAGATGAGCGGAAATCTCGCTGCCAACCATTCTTGCTGAAACATCTTTTTCCTATTTCTTATTTATTGTAACAGTTACTGTCCAATCACATCCCAATGTAACCATTACCTGTAACACATGGGTAAAGAATAGCCCCATGGAGAGCTTCCCTAGGGGGGAATTACAAACACTTTAGCTAGTTGGCCTCCTTTGCAGCAGAGACGGTCCTTCTATATTCTGTCGAGCAAAGGGAGCAAAATGTTAACCATGGCATTTACTCAACTGCAGATAAACACGGAAGATTGTGGAGTGTTTGAAAACGGGCAAATGTCTCATTGATCATTCTTCTCGTTGAGACATCAACCTGTCTTTAGGAAGCCATCATCTCAGCTTGTCTGTCAGGGATGACTAATTGTCTTCTGTGTACGCTTTAATTACCAGCAATTGTCAGCCTGTAATAAAGGGCCGGAGGGCAGAAAGTGATGTGTGTACAGTCCACGGCTCATGTCATCTAAACATCTGTTGGGGATGTCTGTGCATAATATTCTAAGATTACAATATTGTGCACACTACAGATTTTATCTGTATATTAAAAATGGGGTACACCATAGTATTCAATTCATCAGCAGTACTTGGTGGGATTGAAGATTAACTTTAATTCCTAGAAAATTAAGGCAAGATGGGGGCAGGAAATTTTTCCAGGTTTTTGCCATCTGTGTTCCTACTGGGGAAATCTCTCCAATGGGGAGACAGAAGAACACAAAGTTAGTACAGAAGGAAAGAGTTTTTAATGGGGTCTGTGTTTTTCATGTCCTTGTGGTGACCAGTCTTCTGCAAGCATCACAGGCAAGTGAGGGAAATGGAGTCCCAGTCAGAAATCAAATCTTATGGCTGGAGTTGAGCTTGAACCCTTTCGCTATCAGTGCCTTTTTTTTTCTGCGTACATGTTAAAATGCAAATTTTAGACCTGCTGGTTACTTAAACCCCCCCAGAACATTTTGTTTTGGAAAGCCGAGACCCTGGAGAATAAAATGATGGCAGCTGCAATTTTTTTCACATATTAGCACAAGGATTCATCAAACAACATTGTCCTTAGGTGACGCCTTAAAACTCTTAAAAGGCCATCAATTTAGAGTGATTAGTGAAGGATGTTCCTCCACCTCTATGTATCCCGGGCTCTGCTTCCCCTCCTGGGTGCCTGGGATGTCCATGGTGGGTGTCAACAAGAAGATCAGAGCATGATCAGTCAACATCCATTCACTGATCATCCCTGCAGTAAATGGAACTGGTTTCACAGGTGGCATTCCCCAGCTGGGTGCTATGGTGGGGGAAGAAGCTAATTGAGCACAATCTCTGCTTTGATTTATCTTCAGTGGAGTGCAAAAGTGACTGAGTTTTAATAGACCCCTATTGTCTCCCATAAAGAGAACCTGTGACTTCCAACGTGTTATCACATAGGAGGCTTTTCAGGTTAAAGTTTAGAAAAATGAAAGTTTCAAAATACTCGGAGAGGCTGATAACTTTCCTGTTTCTAACGGCAAAGATTTCCATAATAAGGGCCTGGAAATCTCTATGTATCTTTGGTTGCAACCTAATCTAAGATCTCCTGGATCATGACACATGAGAAACTAGCATGGTCTTAAAAGCATGGTCACATACACAGTAGCTGGTTAGAGGCCGGTTAGAAGTCATGTGTAACCTTGTACTTGGCTATAGTTGGTTATTGTATATATTGGCGTTGCTAGTTTGAACACTTCAATGACTGTATGGTATAGCTCATTTTTGAAGACGTCATATTACCTACTGGTTTTATTTGCCAATGAGCTGTGACATGATTTTGTAAGTTTGTATAATGTTAACGATTAGATACATTGAAAGTTATAATGAAAAATCAATTTTCTTTTAACATGCACATACAAGTAAACTTGGGTGTTGGGTTTGTCTACACATGAAAAAGACAATTGCCATGCATGCTGGAGAGACCAGTTATTCGCCATATTCAGTGTTTACTCTAAACCAGTGATTCTCAACCTCTGTAACCTCAGGACCCACATTTTTTTCTTCAGCCTGAGGTCCAGTGTGGGCTGCTGTGCTGTGACGGAGCTTCATCCATATGTGCTTTACTTGTACAGCTCCCATGCGTGCCCTGTAGAGGTACCAAGAGCCAGAATGTGACGTTAATCCGTTCCAGGCACCTCCACAGGACACATGAGGGAGCTTTAAACAATGCACCTATGGCTGCAGCTTCCTTGCAGCCATAGCCCCATCTTATCTCACCTTAAGCTGACACTCGGCGCCAGGCCGCATATTTTGAATGGCTGCTCTGGCATCGAAAGGGGGTAATAGCAGAGCAGTTATTGCTGCTTTGCTGTTCAAAGGCTGGTATGCTTATCCTTGCTTCACTGCTTGGTCACGGATCCAAATAAAAAAAGTTAATAAGGTGCACTTGGTATGAAGAGAATAAGAATGACCTTGGTATAAAGAGGATACGGATGACCATCTTACTGCTTGCACCTTCTAGAACAAGTTTGTGTGGTAGTACCTATTGTAGAAATGTCACCAGCACACCAGAACTTTTAAGATCGGAAAAGCTTCATTTATTGATGTTTTTTGTCATATGACCAAACAAGCGTTTTCAGGACCGCACAGGGTCCCTTCATCAGGCTTTAGCATTGTCATTGTCAAGCAGCGGTCTAAGGTCCCAGAGTCGTCACATTCTATACACAGTGTATAGAACATGAGGATGCTGAGGGACTACAATCACTGCAGTGGAGTAGGAGACAGGGTGGATGGAGTGCTGTCACAGAGGATCAGGTGAATATAAGTTTTATTTCCCGCCCCAGACCAAAACAAGCAGTTAACACTTGCAATGCAGGGGGTAGCCCCACTGAAAGGGTTAATAAAATGTTTTTTTTGCCAGGGGTTCTTGAAATAAAAAAAAATGTATTGCAGAAGGAAGCCTTTCCAAAAATGTATGTGTATATGTACATGTATGTAGTGTATATACATCTCTCTCTCTCATATCTATATAGTCCAATAAGAAAAGTATCATCGCAAACTACAATACTCAGTTTAGTTTTTTTCACATCTTCTCTACAGGACTAATACGGCTTACCCATTTACATTACACTATATAGATATAGATATATGTGTGTGTATATAGATATATATAGATATATATATCTTAGGGCTGCAACAACTAATCGACATAATCGATTATAATCGATTATACTATATATATCTATATATATCTATATATATACATCCTATATGCTTCCTTCTGCATTATATACATTTCCAGCACCTTACAGCTTTCTTTGTCACTGCATAAATCTTTTTGGGAGTCATGATAGAAAATGCCTTTTTTGTTGTTGTTTTTTCCCCCCAGGAATTGGATCCTGAAAGTGCTAAAGACTATTGTATGCTTGCTGAAGTCATTCAGCTCTTCCCTTAGTAACTGCTTAACCACAGTAATTCTGAGCTCACTAAGCGCTCTTTTATCAATACTGTTCAAATGCTGCAAATATATTGAAATTCTAGCTCTTCTCTTTTTTCAGGGGGTGAAACCGGCCAGCTTTGAGAAAGTGGCAGACCCTGAAATCAAAGAGATAATTGGGGAATGCATCTGTAAGAACAAGGAGGAAAGGTGAGAAGATTGTCCCTGCATTATCTGCGTAATGTAAATGTCAGCCTGATCATTACAATTCATGTTTGCTGTGCGAATATTTGCCTAATCAGCTGTTGCTCTGAGACGCTTCGCCCCAGGATCTCAATAGAGAGATTCTCTTATCGACCTGCTGCTGCACTTATGCAGGTCAGGTCTTCACAATTTATTTACCGTGAGTCAGCTAAATCCTGGACAGTAATGGTAAATAGAATGCTGCTGTTTTTAAAGCATTTTTTTTTCTTTAAAACAAATAAGCTTTCAAGGAAAGAAAATGCTGAACCTTAGAAGTGTTTCCTGTTTTATAAATCTGAATGTCTGGATATAGACGCCACATTATTGTATGTGAGCTGATGGTGCTCTGTAATTGGATTTAGAGGCACTAGCCTTAAAACAAATTATACAGCATTTAAAGGAGAACTATGGGATGAGTGAAATACACTCATCCCCATAATTAGAGCCGACGTGCGACACTGGATCTGTCACAGGTCGGCTGTATCGATCGAGAACTGAGCAATAACATATTGCTGATCGCTGGGTTCCCGATCTTCTCCCTGCAGAGTGACTGTCAGTCACCGCTCCCCACAGGGATTACCCCCTTCCCCTCCCTGTTCCTCCCGCGCTGACTGACTAACGGACAGGGGAGGGCAAAGCTGGCTCTGCCTCTATAGAGAACTATGACCTGTGACCCTAAAGAGAACTATGACCTATAAAAGGTTGGGCCATAGTTCTCTTTTAAAGCTGAAATCCAGGCATTTATAAAATGCACATTAATGCAGCTCTGTTTTCTTCATTACATTATTACATTTATTGTTTTAAATGCAAACCATGTAAAATACCAGAATGTTACTTGGTATCTGTTTCTTGCAGTCCTTAGATTAGAACTTGGTAAGAGCTTAGTCTGTGAGAAGAAGCAGCACAAAGAGCCAATCACTTGTGCTGCAGTGGTCATGTGTTAGCAATGAACATACCGGTAGGAGGAAAGATCAGAGTGACGGATATGAACTCTGTCTGCTGCTTCTCTTTTCCATTTCCAGTCACAGGCTGGGGGAGGGGCAATACCTGAAAGTGATACTTAACTGCAGCAGATTAAAATGAAGTCTCCTGACCTGTCAGAGGTGAGTTAAATATAACTGCATGGACAGAAGAGGAGCATGAGAAACCAATACGGTGACCAGCAAAACAGCTCCCCTCTAATAATTTTGTGTATTTAGCGGTTTGTCTGGAATTCCACTTCAATGCTGAGACAGTGTTAGGGTATCATTTGCATGTTTAGAGAATGTAGGGGTGTCTAACTATGAATATCCCCCCCCCCAAAAAAAAAATTAATAAAGGTTAAAAACGCTTATGATTTTATTACAGCTCTTCTTTTCCTAGCTATCCATATGCAATGTGAAACCAAGCAATTGGCATCGTTTAAAGACCTACTGATGCCTAAACAGGTCTGGTGAAGGTGTTTTTGTGAAGGGGTTATGGGAATATATCAGGCAATCAGTTTTGAGAGTCTGTAATCATAAAAAGGTTGAGAACCCCTGTTCTTGAGACTTTATCAAACATATTGATTACAGGTGGTAGACAGAGGGAAAATGTGGGCAGGGTGACTGAATCTGTGTGACACGGTCAGACTCTTTCCTACTTAGTGGAACATCCCTTTCAACTTTAACACTTGAGAGGGAATATCTTGGTACAGGGGCGATATAGCAAAATCTCAACATTTCAAGCCTTCCAGGTTCAAATAAGGTGTAAAAGCACAAGGATTGTTGACTACAACAGCTAATCAGAATCTTTTTTTTTTTTTTTTTTTTTTTTTTTTTTTTTTTTTTTACTGGTCTTAATTCAGAGAGATGAAACCCAGTAAGTTGCTTTGGGTTACTGAACTTGCTTGCTGTTTACATTTACCAAATGCAGAAAGTCCTGACATATATCTAAAGATTGGCCATAAAAATGGGGCAAAACCTGTTTTAACCAGTCACATGCCTAAAAAATCATGACTGCATCTTGGCAGTGTGCTACTCGCCTTTCACTGCTAAATGTAAAGAGTTTGTGTTTAGATTGTTGCCTAGGTCCAGTCATGCGCTGTTTCGGTGATTACCACTAACAGATTTGCCAATATCAGGTTGTATCTTCAGTGGTAGAATGGAAGTGTATACACAAGGGAAGAGCACTCTCCATATTTTGAGCATTAATATAGTATTGCACTTCGGCGCCGCTTACCTGTGTTGAGTTGAGCTGTTGAGTTTAAAGAATGATTGCAATTGCCCTATCTGGATCTGTATAATTTTTATAGGGTTCAGAAAATACAGCGTGTACAAACTTGTGAAGGTTTCTAGTAGGCACTTGTTGAGATTTCAATTTACCTTCCATGCCCTTCTTTCTTTCCTTGCAAAGAAGCTGTCTTTAGTTTTAGAATTGGTTAATGATCCTAACACTGAATTCCTTTAACCATGGTTTCAATGTTTTCAGGTATGAAATTAAAGACTTGCTAAGCCATGCTTTCTTTGCTGAAGATACGGGGGTGAGGGTGGAACTGGCTGAGGAAGACCATGGCAGAAAATCCACGATTGCCTTAAGACTGTGGGTAGAAGACCCCAAGAAGCTGAAAGGAAAACCCAAAGATAATGGAGCCATTGAGTTTACCTTTGACCTGGAAAAGGAAACTCCAGAAGATGTTGCCCAGGAAATGGTAAATCTTAAATAAGCTTTAACATCACCTTGTCACTGCAGGGTAAAAACTAAACTTGTGCTCTAAAGTAGAATGCTGTATATTTACCCATCCAGCAGCCCCCATCTCCAGACTCCCCCGCTTTGCTAATCCTCTGCCCCTGCAGGTATCAAACACAGAGTATATTGAATACCTTCTCCTCCCAACGCACATAGTGGTTTCTTCCGCTGACCCATGCATCCTGTGGTGATGAATGACTGCCCTGAGGCTGTAACACTAAAATCTATTCAGTAATGGCATTGGCTCTTATAGCAAGCAAAGGATAATGGGGATGTGTTTAAGCAGCACACAGTGTCCAGGAACATCTCAGGATGCTAGTATTAAAAAAAAAAAAAAAAAAAAAAAGCCCCCCAAAAAAATTTTAAATACTTGTTCTTTTTTTG